ATTTCGGTTTCAGATTCTTGAATCATTTAGATATTAAGTGGTTATCGATTAAAATTCGCTTATACAAGTCTTGTGATAAATTACATGATCCAGAATAAAACAAAAGAATAATGACTGCTATGCAGTACGTTAATTTGATTTTCATAGGTTGAATGATATTTTGTCTCATCAGACAACTAGATTTCTTATCACCACGATCAAACTATTGAACTGACATCTCCATATAAAGCGTATAAAAGGATTTAACTTGTAATCTAAAGACTCAGTTCTATTGAATTATACTATAACGGTCAGTTCGTAATTGTATCAGGTAAATGTAAATTGTTCGGTGAATGCATTCTTCATCATTTAGCCAGCTCAACGTTAGTAATAACGCAGTGATTATTGCAGTTGTGTTGGTATTATAATTGTCAAATAGCTGATAGATAACCGAATTGATAAATTCTTTGGATATTTAATAACTTTTGATTTATATGTCAGAACAAAAAGTTCTCTACTTACGTCTGTTACCTCTTATGGAGGAGCATAGGCCGCACACATGTACTATCTATCCAACCCTATCCTCGACAATCATTTTCAGTTCTTTCCAGTTACAACAGTAAGTCATAGTCCTAGTTCATTATGTTTTACATTTATATATTATTATATGTATTATTAAATGGACTTAAGACGAATTTTTATTCTGAGAAAGTTTTAGCTTTTTTATAATATTTAATTCATAAGCTTGTCAATAATCATCAGGTTTTATTGACAAATTTTTTCCAAAACACTTCACATCTTACAACTTTAAACCTAGATTAATTGATTTTTACAATAACTAGTGACTTCAGTAGATCTGATATATATTTGAATGTAGCAGCCCCCAAATGCCCTGGTACAGCCGAGAGTGGGGAGAGTCCGCTCTCCCTCTTGAAATGCTCTCACATGGCCACGCGTATATAGCCTCTGCCCGGGGAAGTCCTACTCACTGCCTTCTCATGGCCGAGGTGTTGTTTACGAAAATGAGAGGACGAAAAGCGAATGTCCGGCGCTTTAACCGGATTCCAAACCAATGGTGCACGTGGGCTCCAGTATCCTGTGGGAACAAATGACGTATGAACCAATTGTTGGTCACCGGCTACCACGGGACTGCATCTCCTCACGATGCTCCACTGCCTTGTGGATCAGACCTTCAGGTCGAAGGCTCGGGGAGTGGCCCCCTAAGAAAACCACCTACTTCGGTTTGGGCACCCGAGCAGTATCACATCCTCACACATATCGAATGAGATTTGTGTGGCGCATATGCATTTGGTACCCCCTTGTACCAATATCTATGTGTTAAAATAAATGAATCAAATGAATGTAACAAGAAATATTTACCACTATACAATTATTAACATGTTGCTAGTTAAGAACAAATAAAATCATTTGTCTAGTTATGAATTACCGACTTATACAATGAATAAATTGTTAAACTTCATTGAAATAAACAATTCTACTTCCATGAGTAAATGATCTTGTTTTCATTACAAGGATATACTTCAATCTGTCAACTATATCATACTTGTGTTTCAGAGAAACAAATGGTAGAGAGGAAATACGAAATATAATTATATAATCATTTATTTTATTAGTGAACTTACTCCAGTTATTCTGTAAGTGGTAAATTATTGAAAGACAAGTGGAATTGTTCGGTAGACACAAGGTCCATAAACCAAGTTCATAAGGATTCCGAGCTTTAAATGATTAAACAAACATGTAATAAAAATCATACAATATTTCTTAACAGTTATGCATTTCATAGTCTAATTACCCTCTTAAATACACTTTAAAATTTGTAAATCATGACATTTTTTAATGGATATGACTGAGTTATCACTTTTTACTTAGAAAATATTAAGTTTCTAAAAAAATTATTCAAAGTTTCATCTGGTCATATTCTGTTTTATGTAACCATGACAAAGGTTTGTGGTACTTTTAATGATGATAAGAGTATTAGTCACTTCATAACTGTAGGCATTTCTTGGGAAGTGGTGATAACTAGCATTTAACAAATTTTCATAATTATAATAATGATCAAATCTATCTTGCAATACTAAAAATATTATTATATTGAAGTCTCAGCTACCATTATGTAATTTGTACGAATTGCCGCTTAAAATACAATCATTTCCAATCATTAAAACTGTTAGAACGAGTCCCGAATAGGACGAAACGCGCGTCCTTTATTCCACTGCTGGCTACTATCCATCTTTCCTGATAAAATTTGCGACTTAATGCAATATCAAGTAACTCCTGCCAGGATGCACATATGCCAACAAGAGACTGATCATTTGCAGCCCTCAACAACAATGGGAAAATACAAGAAAACAATACCAAGTGTATTTATCTTAGCTATGATGAATTAAAAGTATGAATTCTAGTTTAATCATATATTGCTTTTTCAAAGGATAGAAAGAGGAATGTATAAAAAACAAGCAATATGCTGGTTTAAGTTTCCAATAGTTAGCATTTCAATAATTTGTAAACACTTAATGTTAACACATAAATACATCAAATAAATCCATTTTAAAAAGGAAAGTTATTTGAAATATTTGCACAATTAAAAATAGTTTGATCGATCATTTCGACAAAACTGTTAAGTTCTTCTAGGGTTTTGTATCGGTTTAAGTCAAGTACTTAACCTAAAGTAGAAAATACAAACATGACAACTTTCTCATATTGGAAGTTATAATGGGAATTAAGCTATTGAATTCAATAAGAACTAAAGATCGAATAAAGTGATCTTATTAATTGATGTACTTAAGAAGAGTAACAATCGTAGATGTTTTAGAGATGATTTATTCGCTTAATTGCTCATAAAACTACACGAAACGTAAGTAAAAGAGGCCCAAACATATAAGTACATAACTTGTTAGTCGACAAAGTTAAATTAATGATTTTAACGAAAACCAACAATATCCACAACCCCACACAGAAAATTATCATGTACTCACTCATGGCATGCATCGAAAAGAAATTTCCCCAGTTCTAGTTAGAAGCCATGACCAGTGAAGTTCAACCGAGTCGGATGTAAGGCGAAGATAATGGAAGAATATGGCGTAATTTTGTGGATTGATTAAAGTTAGACATTAGCATCGTTTGGTTCCGACTCAGTGGTCTAGAGGTTAACTGTTCGCGCTCTAGAACAAAATTCTTAGGTTCAAGTGCTGCGTGTGGGATTGTGGATACATACTGCCGAAGGGTTCCATATAAAGAAGGAACGGGCATGTAGTGCATTCAGGTCATCAGTGACAGTCTAAATGTGGTCGGCTTGTTATTTGAATGAAACTTAACAACTTTATCGATCTTACACTTAGAGTTAATACAAATAACTACGCAAATTGATAAAAAACAAAAAATCAGTCATAATCATGGTGAAAACTTACAATCTCCAATCCATTTCCATGCTGGACTACCAATACCAAACAATGTTACACCAACACCTAAAACTGCCATACAAAAACTCCAACTTCTTGTACGTACAAATAAATCATGTTCATGATAATCATTTAATAATTGCCATTGTTGAGGAGTTAAATGTGCTGTTTTAACTTTTGATGATAAATTTGTCGAAGGAGTAGTAGTGGTAGTAGTAGCAGTATTAGTAGTTGTTATTATTGTAGTTGTAGTGCTGATTGTAGTAATTGTATTATTAATAGTATGATTATGTACATTATTGTTTAGTTTTGTTTTATTTAATTTATATTTATTATCATCATGATAAAATTTACGAATTTCATCATTTGTGGATTTAGATGATTCTGCTTTGGCCACTGCAGCTTGTATAGCTATTTGATAAAGACGATCTGATGCATTTTGTTGATTATAATTTTGCGACATATGATGACGTCCTATTGAATGAGGTAATTCATAATAACTAAGATGAGTTGAAGTATAATTTTTATTCTGACGATATTCTACTGGCATTCTAAATAGGTGGGGAAAAAACGTTTCTTTTTTAAAAAAAAGAGGATATTACTGACTATACCTATGAACGAAAATTGTTATTTACATTAAATTGTATTCTAATTAAATAAAGGTATACAATTTGTTGATAACTCTATATAATGAACTCATGAGTCGATGTAGGCTAAACCACAATACAAAACCCGGAAGTACTGAAGTTCTGGTGAGAAGCCATGACTAGTGAAGTTCAATCCGTATCGGATAGAGATAGGTATCTATCTCGGACAATCGATGATAGGTTGTGTAGTTTCGGTCGCTATGTTAAGCACACATAACTTATTCTAGCTTCTGGACAAACCAACATAATCATTCTTCTCAAGCTACATTTTGAGATTGTCAACTATTCGCTTATCAACCTTGGCTGTTTTTATATGAGCGCATATATGTGCATTACATAACCTACACATCACATGTCTATAGTTTATATTTGGTCTGACTATAAATATCAATTAACGCTTGGTTAAATTGAGTTGGCTCACACACCTCTATTGCGCTTCATTGCGCTTCTCTCTCTTTTCCCCTCTTCCTTTTCTTTGTCTCTTTGATTGTCAGTCTAGATCAACGAGCGTACAAAATATATGTATTCAAAATTCCATGCTCGTATTTGACTTATTTAACTCCGTTATTCAATAACGCGATTCAAGTCGATAATTTCATCCGAGGATTGACAATATGTATATTTCAATACTTATCATTCATACAATCGAAATGAAGTCAGATACAGGGCCAATAACGTTGGATCGACTGAAGTATGACATTAACACTGTTGGATCCTGGCCTCAGTGTCCTAGATGTTAAGTGGTCGCGCTCGAGATCGAAAGTCCTGGGTTCGAGTCTTACAAGAGGGATCGTAGATGTGCACTGCTGAGGAGGATGAAACAGCCGTCCGGTGCTTCCAGATTTTCAATGATGGTCCAGACTATACTGTTTCGTGAGTTCATCTGTTATCATCACTACAATCTCATATTTTAATAGCAACTCTTGATGTTTTATGACTGTATTCTTGTTCATAATTTAACGACGAGATTATTAATGAACACTATCTAGTGACTAACACATATATCAAAGTTAATATGTATAGAATTAAAATTTTAAACAACAGATACATGATACATGATACATGATGATAATATCAGTGAAAGTATAGCAGCACACATATGAATAATTTTGATTGCGGTTAATTTTTGTCAAGACCTATTATTTAACTTATTTAACAAACAATGTCATTCGAACAGTAACGATTCATCCATTTCTTTATATTATTATGATCACTACCATGTCTGTATAAACGGGTACGCTTGATCACATGGCAGCCTATGCGCATATCTCTAGTTTAAATGTTAATAGCTTACATATTACTTGATGAATCATTCTCTTTCCCATGTATATATGTGCTCGAATCCTATTATTAACCTTCACCTTGCCTTTTTGCGCCTTGATTCAATTTGACTATAAATTTGTCTCTGTATTTGCTCGAACATACACACATTCACCTCAATGTGCTTGTAAGCTTGTGATCTGTTCTATCCGCTAATAAACTGTAATTTCAACTTCTTATTGCTTTCTGATTTCAAACACCATTGTGATGTATATAATAATGAATATCATGGTAATTGATTAACGAAGTTAAGCCACTACAAATCTACTAAAATTCGATGGATTATAATGACATATATTAGAAGTTGGTGAAATTCTGTTCATTCCTTTCCAGTTACATAAAAAAATCCAAGTAATTTAGCAAAATGAAGCTAAATTAGGTAATCAGTTAGAACATATAAGACTTATCTGTACAAAATAGATACATTTCAACATTTTATTTAGCTTGGTCTACAATAAATCCATTCAGTTCTACTTTTAACAGTACACATTATAAACTTTACTCCTATATCTCTTCATGGAAAACTGTACTGAATCTTTTCAATGGTACATAATTTTGGTCAACTGTACATTGATCTTTCTTACTTTACTTAATATTGGTATTATTCACTATTGGTATTATTCAATATTATCATTACAATAATTAAACCATGACATTTACTGTTTTGTGTTAATTTTTTGCATATGATTTCAACTTATTAATTTCATTAGCATTAGAATGTGTAAATTAATTTTAACTCATATCCTCAATGCGTGAAGTTCTTCCCAAACCTTGTTGTATGATCTGATAATATTATTTGGTGAAATTACGCCTATTGTTAAAATATAGAACTTGACTGAAATGAAATGAAAGATTTTTATTTGAAAACATCAATGAAATCAATCATAATGTTTTCATGTATACCTTAATGTAATGCTCCGACAAGAATAATGAATGGTAACTTTTGGTATCAAGTTATGGACAAACACTATGCGTATATTTTTGTCGTATAATCGTCAATTAACTAAACTATTCATATTTATGTCTGTGTTATCATAAGCTTTATTTTAACCTATAAATTTTTATTATACGATTTTCCATTCTTGAATTATTCCCTGTCTATTAGTCACTCCCTCCCTCATTCACAGCCACATTTGGCTAATTCTTGTACAAATGTTGTTCTCTATTTTATTGGTACGTTGTGGTTTGTTTGATTGATATATAAACTCAGTATGTCTGAAATATAATGATTCCTATCGCAGAGGCTGAGACTGGTGTTCTGAACTTATCTGGCTGGGCTAGGTGGAAAGCATGACCAATCAGAACTCTAGGCTGCTCACACGTGTTTTACGCGTCATTGATCTGATCGATAAGTTACTGCTCATTAATCGGCGGTCACAAGTTATAACACATAATGTGTTGTTTATTATAACAATAGACCCCGGAAATTATCACATTTTTAGATCGGTGAATTGTGATATTCACTATGTTATTATTTTTATTATTATTATTGTTACTAGGATTTGACTAAGTTTTCATAATCAAACTCATAAATTAAGATAACGGATATCTTTAGTAAATTTCTGAAAATAGACAACTGGTGATACATATCTAGAAAGATTAGGCCGACTCCGGCAAAAAGTGTTCATAGCTTGATATTTTTTCTTTGCTTAAGATGTTAACTTTGTAAACAAAAACTTCATTACTGTATTTGTCAAGCAACCGATGTGCGACATTAACTTCACATGTTCCTAAGCTCACTGTTTGAACAACAGGAAATCAGGTGAAAGGATAAAGATACCTTTGTTATTTACTGTCACAACTTAATAGTCCGAGTTAAACACAAGTCAAGAACGGACTACATAAAATTATTTTAAATAGTTACATATCTATGTATTTATTACAGAATATGAGTGGCGCATTTGTAGTAATTAATTGTAAATCATTATCAATAAAAGGTATGGCAATAGTGAATCAGATATACGTGTCTAATATATGCACAGAAAGAGAGAGAGAGAGAGAAAAGGAGGGTGTTCCGAACAATTACATACGAGTTGACAATCATATCTCAAATACATGTACAAATTAAGGATTCAGTGTTACTAATACCTACTTAACTACATATGTATATACAAAGACAAATCTCATGTAAAATTACGAATGACATGAATGGTAACATTACCATTGTAAAAACTGTTTGTAGATAAAGAATATTAGATCCGTTTTATCCCTTGTACTATAAAAAAAATGTATTCATTTGAAAAGTCTACTTTACTGAAAGATATCTTACATCAGGCTGCGAGATTAGGAAAATCCCGCACCCGGGACTCGAACCCAGGACCTGTAGTCTCACGCAAACGCTTAACCTCTAAACCACTGATCCGGCATTTTACGATCACTGTCTATTTTGTCCATGGTTAATTAATTTGAAATAAACAGTTGAAACCTTGACAATGTGAATTACAATATGGATAATTTGAGAGATACGACAGCGGTACAAAATAAAAGGTTTGTACTAGGGCTTAAAGGGTAGCATAGCATAGCACGATGATCAAAAAGCAATTATACATAGAAAAGTCTTGATGTTTTTATTCAGTAATAAGATTGATCAAAATTTGCAAATTAAAAGAGTATCCTTAAATTATTGATCCAAACAAAGTTCAGTCGACTTTTTACTAATATCTACATTAATATTTCATAATTACACATTAACACCAATCAGTACTGGCCCAGTGGTCTAGAGGTTAAGAGTCCGGGCTCAAGATTGAAGATCCTCGGTTCGGCTTTTGAGTACAGAGTGATGGATGCGCACTCCTGAGGTGTCCCATGCTGGGACGAAGCGACCGTCCAGTGTTTGTAGTTTTCCAGTGGTGGTCCAACACTGACTGATTCATCAATTTAACGAAACTCAACACACTCCAGAACCTCAAACTGATAATTTCATGACCAACTGGCCTATTTGGTTTTATCGTTAATACTAAAAAGCCTACTTATTTATAAAATTTTATTACGAATTTCACTTTATTATGATTGCCACTGAATACCTCATTTAAACAATGAAATTTTAAACAATCGACATGGTGCACAATGAGTCAATAAATACTTAGACTATTTAACACATTGGTAGACTCAGAAACGAACAAAAAATGCATAATATTCAGTTTACTACATCCTACTTTAATACTGATAAATTCATTATTGATTTCTTACTTACTTGAGCCTGTTGGCAATTTTTCAGGAGCATTGGCCGCCCACCAGAAAAATCCTTCCAACTCTGTCCTGGACAATCTGTTCCAGTTCCTATTCATCCTTTTCAGGTCTGCTTCCGTTTCTCGATATGGTGTGTTCTTCGACCTTTCTCTTTTCCATTTCCCATCAGGATTCCAAGTTAGCACTTGCCTCGTAATGCAATTTGGTGATTTCCGTAATGTATGTTTTATACACTTCCAAAATCTTTTTCTGATTTCCACTTGAGCTGGGAGAGGGTTTGTCCTCTCCTACAGTAGGTTAGTGTTGATGGTATCCAGCCGACAGACATTGAGTATCTTAAGTAGAAACTATTCTTAAATACGTGTACCATTTTGATGATGGTTGTAATAGTTCT